ACATAGTGAGTTATAGGTCAATCACAACTACATAGTGAGACCCTGTCTCAAACAAACAAACTAGATCCCTTTAAAAGAATAGCTTGTATATTTTAGAGCAGTTCTGGATTCTCGGCAGAGGCATCTAGCGTCTGCCCTGACCCCGTGCTGTGCAACCTCCCCAGCTGCCGCCATCTGTCCATCAGTCAGTCAGGCCTTAGTTGCAGTCCGTCAATCTGTCCGTCGGGCATTTGTTGCAGTCCCTGAGCCCCTTGTGGCCGTCACGGTTCCCAGAGACCACCTTACATCCGCGTTCCCTTGCGGTGTCGACCCTTCTGCGGGTTGGGACAAATGTTTCATGACACACCTGCCGCCATGGTACCCCTAGGAGCCCTGAGAGTGCTCCGCCCTCTAGCCACTTCTGGTGTCATTTGTGAGAGCCCATTGAACACAAAAAAGGAGCGAGGAGCCATGTGTAAAATCGATTCCCCTAGGAACATTTGCACAGAGGCTGCTGCGAGGTTCCAGGTACAGGAGTCATCTGAAACCTTCTGAGCAGCACCGCCCAGCATGGCTGTGAGTCTCCCCTCCTTGAACGGTGCACCCTCTGGTACTTGTCTGAGTAGCATCCTTCCTTTTATGAAACACAAGCTCCTGCAGCAGCAGAGAAGAAAGTCTCTGTGCTGCTCTCTCCTACTCTGCCAGCAGCTCCCTGTGGTAATGTCTGAAATGACTCTCAGAAGCGGAGGATCCGGCTGATTATCTGCGTGGTTTGTTGTGGCATTTCGATGCATCCAAGCTTTCCAGCAACTTGGAGAAGGACTCTGTATGCCCAGACAGTTACTTTGGCTCCATTGTAATTGTTTAAAGATTGTAGATTCTTTTCGTGGGTGTAAAGCTTTGAAAAATACCAACTTCGTGGCTGAGGGGGCAGCACAATGGTAGAGCAGTTGCTTAGCATTTGAGGCTCTGGTTTAATCCCAGCATCAGAACCAAAAAAGGAAAAAAATTTTTTCTTTATTAACAACTTACGAAGACTTTTTTCAATGTTGTCAAAAACAAGCAAATTTGGTTTTTGTCTCACAATCTGTTCAACTTTAATAGAAAATAAAATTTAAAAGCACTTGGCCTATTAGTCAGCAATTGGAGGAAAAACAGACTGCATAATGGGCAAGAGGGCTTGGCCCTGGGGGACGTGAGAGGCAGACACAGGCCAGAGTCCTGTGGTCACTGTGCCTTCAGTCACAGTGTCTGGGACCGAAGAGATGCAGCTCTCAGATCACAGCCTACCTGCTTCTGTTTACAAATGAGAAAACAGCATTGGAGAGGGAGAGAAATGTCCTGCCCTAGATACTGCAACCAGGAACGAACGTGGCAGTCCTGGGTATTTATATCTGAACACCTGAGGCCCACTTTTATAATACTTCCAGTTATTTATATATTTTTTTTCAGAGAGTATTTACGAAATTCTCAAACTGCTGTTGCATTTTCTAGGAGTTTGTAAGTTGATATCACATAATAATACTTTGTTTTTTGTTTGTTTGTTTTTGGTACTGGGGATCGAACTCGGTTCCTTGTGCTTGCAAGGCAGGCGGTGGAACCACTGAGCTAAATCCCCAGCCAACATCACATAATAATAAAAGCAAGGATAGTGTGACTTTGGACAAATTTACATGTGCTCCCACAGCTTTTCCTGCAGTTGGCTGGAGAGCATAGAAAGAGCAGTAGGATGGGGCTGGGGATTTAGCTCAGCGGATCGGTGGCCTGCCTTGCAAGCGCGCAAGGACCCGAGTTCGATCCCTGGTACCAAAAAAAAAAAAAAAAAAAAGAAAGAGCAGTAGGTTTATAATGTGTAGGCTAACTTGAGAACCAGTTGGCCAGTTATTAGTCCTGTCTCTCAGCACCACCACCCTTCAGTACAGTTCACTGAATTCTCAGTTATACGAGTCAGGGACAGAAATGATTGAAAAATGAGAAGACTCTAGATGTAAAAGAGGAAATCTAAGAAAGTGCTGGAGCCCGACTCGTGAGGACAGTTCATTGGCAAGGATATTGAAGGAAAGAAAGGTACAACATTGGAGCAAAAACTAAAGGCATGTAGAGATGTAAGCTGGGGAGTTGGAGAACAGGACAGTGAACATAAGACGAGTTCACGGGGTGCTAACCTAGAATTGAGGGCAGGATGTGCCTGCGAATGACAGGAGGCCATGGAGCAGGACTGCTCTGCAGTAGATCCGAGTGGCTCTTCCTTTGGGTGGGAAGGATGGAGGCCCGCCTTCCTCTTTGACACACGATCATCCAGCCTGGGGTGGCCAGTATGATCAAGTTATTTGTCACCTATCCATTGATGACGTAATTATAGACAGCAAGTCTGTGAGGGTTTAGGAACTCTTTCAACAACATGCCACAGTAATTTAAGTCTGCTGAATCTGGGGATAAAAACCACCAGAAGGTGGGCCATACCTGTAATCCCAGCACTCTGGGAGGCTGGGGCAGGAGGATCACAAATTCAAGTAGCCTGAACTACGTAATGAGACCCAGACTCAAAATAAAAAATAAGGGCTGAATATGTAGCTCAGTACAAAGGCCCTGGTTTCAACCCCCCAGGACCACCATCACTACCAAAACAGACAGAAAATTGGGGCCTATATTTCTTCTGTTTTTATTTCATTTTTCTAGTAGTTAATTTTTATTACATTTTACAGGGTAACCATCTGAATGGGCTTAGAAATACAAAACAGCACAGATCATTTGAGAGGTACCTGTTAAGCCCTGGCTGCTCAAACAGCCTGGAGACCAGGTTCTTGGTGTCCCTGGAAAGCCTGTTACTGGTGCAGACGCTCAGGCCCTCTGGCCCCCGAGTGGGTCCACATCACTTGGGTGAGGAGCCCTGGGGCTCCGTCCTTTCAGCATCAGACAGATCCGGTTACTCAGAAGTTCTGCTCCTTACTGGGTCTGTTCGGCTTCATGTGCCTCGGGTCATCAGGAGGAAAGTCCGATTTAAAGGCTTCTCTCCACTCAGGGCTATTTCACAAATAATTGTTGAGCATCACCTATTCTTTGTAAGCTGCTGGGCTACATTGCAGGGCTGCAGGGATGAAGCGGGCTCCCCTCGTGGGGTGTGGAGTGCAGCGCAGAAACCCGTGCCGAGGACAGACGTTCCCGGGACGCAGACAGCACAAGGTGCATTCGCCACGGCAAGATGAGGGTGGCAGTGCTGCCAGGCAGGACGGGGTGATCCGAGAACGCTGTACTTACGGACACTGGCATGGGACTGGTCTTCAAGGGGGGTCTGCAAATCTAAGCCATGCTTAGTTATTTAGCTTCCGGCTTGTAGGACCCTGCATGTATGATTCATCTTTCCATGGCTTGGGGAGACACTCATGTTTTGTGGAAGTCTGAAGGGATCTGTGCTCATACTTAGGCTGGCCTTTTTTCTGTCCTCTTGGCCCTTATCTGAATTGTCCTAGCTGCTTAGAAATAGCTACAGTTTAGAAGGGACCCTCTCTGTGAAAACATGACAGTAAGGACCCCTTAAAAACAGGTGCAGTCACCGGTCAAAAATAAACAGGGAAGCAGTGGCAGGTCCCTGGTAGCCCCGTTCTCCAGTAGCCCGGCTCCTTGCATCCTGCTGCCGGCTGCAGGACACGCACAGGCACAGCCTACCGGTTTGAACGTGGATTGCGTTAAAGTAGGGAAAAGTCTTAATCTCGTTGAAGCTTCCCAGCCTCAGCGTGGTCGTTAACTGTGTCCACCTGAGTCAGAAACACCCGGCTAACTTGGATCGGCATAGCTCTGGGTGCGGCTGAAGGGATTTTACTGAAGACCCGGAGGGCTTGAGGAAGAAAGACAGGAAGACTCGCATCTGTCTCTTCGGAGGAGCTCAGCTTGGACGCCGTCACCTGGCTTGCACTGCAGGCCCCTCGGCCTCCTGGTATAGTCTTGCGTGGGACTCTACCGTGGGCGCCGGGCCTGGGCTGGATCCTTAGATCTCCAGTGGGCAGACAGCCCTTCTGCACTTTCCCTCACCTGACTGTAGCGGCCATTGTGAGCTGGTCTTGTAAATACTTATATATTTAGGTGGTTTTTTTGTTTGTTGTTGTTTTGAGTCAGGGTCGTGCCCTATAGTTCAGGATGTTCTTGAGCTCACTGTGTAGCCCAGGCTGGCCTGAAAGTCACAGCAATCCCCCTGCCTCAGCCTCCTGAGGGCTGGAATTACATTTTCTTATTTATTTGTATATGTTGCGTTACATCTGTTTCTCTAGTAAGCACTGACTGACACATTCAGTGTATCTTTAAACAGGGCAGTGCTGGGCTAGGGATTTAGTTCAGCGGTGCTTCGCCTGTCTTGCAAGCATAAGGTCCTGAGTTCGATCCCCTATATCCCCCCCCCAAAAAAAAAAATATATATATATATAGCCCAGTGCTACATCAGCCAAATCTAGTCAGGAGAGAGAAACCACACAGGTAAACAAAGGACATTTACCCTGAGAGTAATGAGGGGTTGACTAGTAAGCAATAAAGAAAACTGTATAAACTGTAGAGCTGGCAGCCACCACCCAGGGCTGACCGAGCCGGGCACCCTGTGGCTCCCTGAATGGTGAGCTGGCTGGCAGTCTGCCCTCCAAGGGGCTGAGAGTGCTTCCAGGGAGGTAGCTGAGGGGTTCTGGGTGAATGGCCTCGTCCTGCCCAGAGTTTGTGATCGGAAGAGAAACCTGTGCCAGAGCCCACACGGCTGCTAGACAGGGAGTTCTGTCCGGTGCGCTCTGCTGAAAACATGGTGCCACTTGGCTAAGGAAAATTATTAAACGGCTTATACCCATTTCACAGAGCAAGAGAAAGGGTGGATTGGGAGCCAAGAGGTAATACATTAATAATAAGCACGGTGGCTAAGTACAAACAGTCACGATATCCTGAGGTGTCGCGAGCCGTGACGTCCGAATCCTGCCAGCAGGTCCTACACCTGAAAGGACGAGGACAGAGAGACGGGAGGCACTTTTCTTCTCATGGTCCTTGCTTTATTTATTACAGAACCTCTTCCTTTTATACTCTCCCGGGAGCGAGAGTACCGCCCACACATTCCAGAAGAAAACCGTTACAGTTGCTAGGCAACAGATCAGACCCCCAGCTGAACTAGCCCGTTGCTATGGGCGACGGCACGTCCACACGGCTCGGGTGAATCACAGGTCAACATGGCTGCGCTCTCCATACTGAGGAAGGTGTGCCTGCTGCCAGAAAGATTATACAATGCATTTAAAGCCAGCGATTAAGGGTTTGGGTGTTACTCTTACCCCGTGTACTATAGGGAACGGGAAGGGGGTGTTGCCAGAATCCGCGCTGGGTCCTGGCCTGCTGTGAGCCTCCACGGCACAAGGCGAATTAAAGAACAGACAGTAAACGAGACTTAGATTGAAGAAGCTGGGTCCTGGGACCTGAGCAGTGCTGCTGGAGGCGGCAAAGAGAGAGGCCCCCGGCGCACCCGGTGTTTATTAACACCATCGTGGGAGGGGATGGCGAGCCGGGTGTGCTTAGAAGGCATCTAGTGAGATACTGCCGAGCACCTGGCCTCATGGCACCAGGCAGGCTGTTGGGGTGAAAGCACTGCTTATCTTGCTTGGATAGAACAAACCAGTACTTGGATCAGGTGCAATTAACAAGCAACCCGTCGGGTCAGTGAGAAGGCGTAATTCAGGGCGCAGGATTTAAGTGGGGTCACACTGACCTCAGCTGCGCGTAACTCAGCAGAGCCCTGCTACTCACAGACCAAGGACTTAGGCCTCAGTGACCGCCATTAGCAATACTCGCCCAACTCTGCTGCTGATGTGCTCGTGAGTCACAGAAGGCTTCGGTCTGACTCCTGAGAAAAAACAATGTAGCTGAATTAGGGAAGGCAAGAAGCGGGTGCCACTCACAGCCCGCTAGCATTGGGCAGGGATGCCTGTTGAGGTGTACTGTTGTCTCTCTAAGGATTGCCAGGACTGTTTTCTTCATGGATAAGCTATAGGGTGTAACAAGTGGAAATAAAGTCCCTTTGGAGTAAAACCTTTAGTTCATTAGCAACCACAGAAGCAGGTATAGAAGACTTCACATGATAGGGAGAAGACAGAGTTAGCTGTCGGATACCTCTTCCCCTTCAGACACACCGTGCTCTGCCTTCCTAAAGATCCTCAGCACCTCCTCCCAGCACAGACCACCTGCCCGCCCGCCCCTCGTGCTGCTGCATAGCTGCTCTCCCAGCCCATTGCTTCTGTTCTGGCTTGCATCTTTTTAGTCTCTAAAACCTTCTGCCTTCTTGATTTACCCCTCTGGTTGATTGGGCCACACTTAAATTGCTTTACAAGTTTGTATAGCTGGCACTATTTTTGGGTCTCGTATATCCTGATATTTTGCTGGTAATTTGGCAGGTTATCAAAGATATCAGCTGAAAATAATTCTTCTCCAGAACTTTGAGGTCATCTCCCCATTTTTCCTTCCTTCCATCTACAGGTAGGAAGCCATTCTGACTCCTGTTCTCTCAGTGTAACCTGATTCCTTTGGGAAAGCTCAAGAACTATCCCTTGTGTCCAGGACCCCGTGGTACCTGCATGGTGTGTTTTGGAGCCAGTCTGCCCCCCCGTGCCTGCCTCTGTAGCATCTCTTTTTGATAGAGATGTTCCTGTCTCTAGATGTTCAGCCTTCTTAACTGATTTTCGGAGTTTTCTTAACTTACCTCTCCTATTTTCTACCTTTGTCATTTTCCTCTCTTTTCTAGGTTTCCTTAACTTTTTTTTGGTACCAAGGATCGAATTTGGCACCTTGTGCTTACAAGGCAGGTGTCAGAACCAGTGAGCTAAATCCCCCCCGGCCTAGATTTCCTTAACTTTTCATTTGACCTTACATTTAAAAAATGTTTGTATGCAGTCTTTAAAATCTTCTTCTTGTTCTGTGATTGGTCCTTTGCGTGGCCTTCTGTTTTTGTTTCATGAGCACAGTATCCCCGCTTTTCTGTCTGGGAGTATTAATGAGGTTTTCTTTTTCTCTTGACTTTTCATTTTGGCATGATCTTCACTCCCTACAAATTGCCCTTTTTTATGAGTCTTGTTTCTGTCTTTTTTTCTTTCTTCGATGTCTTGTGAGTCCCATTCGCTCAGTTTAGAGTGGGGATTGGAAGGACGTAAACAGTACGTCCCCCTAAGCCCCCTAAAAAGTGTTTGTGGGTGTGTGAAGGTCCTGACGGTGTCTGCCTTCCGGGAGGCTGGATGGCATCTGGAGAGTCTGGGCCCCGGCAGCCTGTGCTCACCCGGAGTATATTCCATTTCCTGCACGTGCTGTGAGAGAGGAAGCTGGCACCCATGGGTGAGCTTGCTGCCCGTGGCCCTCGGTTTCGTGATGGAACTGGCTCGTCTTCCTGCGGCAGATTAGGCCTATACTCCTGGGCTGGTCAGATCGTCCAGAAGAGTCATCAGGACTTCGGTCTTGCTCTGGGTACTTTAAGAGCTGAGCTGGAGGAAATGCTACAACACACTTGCCCTTGAAAGTGCCTGTCATAGTACAAGTCCCTTGTCCTCAGGCAAAACCGTGGGGGAACTGCAGACAGGTGGGAGGAGGGTCTGGGATAGCTGTTTCCTGGTCTGTTGACCAGCCAGCTTTTGGCTGGCCCTTCCCACTCTGCCCAGCTGCTCTGTACCTCCATTTCCTGGGGGGTCTCCGAGGCGACTTACACTTTGTGTCGAGTTTATGAAGTTTTGTTAATATTATCTCCTGGTCTCTGTTTCACTGTACCAAAGGTCTGATTTGTTGTTGTTTGTTTTTGAGTCAAGGCCTCACTGTGTTCCAGGCTGCCCTGGAACTCACTGTGTAGCCCAGCGTGGCCTTGCACTTGTGGGCCTCTCACTTCAGCCTCCCTCCCGAGTGCTGGGATTGCAGGCTACACTGCCACACCTGGCTGAAAATTCTGAGTCTTTACTGGCTTTGTTGTAGAAGTCTGGATGCAAAGGATGAATGTAAATGTCTGTTTCTGAGATGTTCTCCCTGTAACTACTGCTACTTAGATATCAGCATTTGAAAGTTCTTTACTGTTCTTAGAAAGCATGGTTATTAGATGCAGTTAACATAATGCCATTTTTGAGGTTTTATAGAATTCATAGTAACAGTGTGTTTCAAAGTTACTTTTTAAATTGCACTTAAACTTTCTTTAAAAAAGCTTTAAATTTTCTTAGTAAAGAATATCAAGCTGGGCGTGGTGGCGCACACCTGTAATCGAGCGCTTCGGAGGCTGAGGCAGCAGGATCCCTGTGAGTTTGAGACCAGCCTGGGCTACGTAGTGAGTTCCAGGTCAGTCTCAACTACATAGTGAGACCCTGTCTCAAACAAAACAAAACAAAACAAACAAGCAAAAAGAAGAGTATCAAGAATATCTTTTAGGCCTTGTGTGAGGTGTAGGTTCTTAAGACGCAGGAAGCAGTGACTGTGAAAAATTGCTCTTTGGATGGTTCATTGCCTTTACAAGGGTGTGAAGTGTGGCAGATGATAAATATCCAGAATGTATTAAGAACTCTTACCCTTAATCTAGAACATTTAGGAAAAGAAAGAGCGACCTGAACAGGCCTGCACAGACACGCGTCCACGGCGCCATGCCGGGGTGGCAGCGGGCGGCAGCGTCCGTGAGGCCCGTCCTCTCTCAGGCTGACCGCATCGCCGTGCATGGATGCTTGGGGCCGCAGATGCTCTGCATGTGGCAGCGGGCCGCCGCGTGGAGAACGTCAGTCTCCTCAGCCGCAGTGGAGGAGGCCGTGGTACAGGGGGAGCCACGCGGAACGTGGAGTAGCGTACAGCGCATGGCGGAGCCGGGGATAGGCGCGCTTCTGTGGTCTGACAACCTCATGTTTATCACGTGGGTCTTATTTCATGGATGTGGCCAGAAAGAGGAAGCCAGGGAAAGTGAAGCATAGGATTTTGGTTACACCTCCTCGGAGGACCTTGCAGTTACAAGCAGAGTGTTGGTGCCTTGCTTTGGGTAGTGGGTGTGGGAGTCCTTGTTTCACTTTTGCAAATAATTAGATAACTAGACACACAGAACCGCGGATGTTGGTCCTCCGGCTGTTTTGCCTTTTTTTGTTTGTTTTTTAAGAAGTAACGTTTTGAACATTGGAACAAGTGTTTTAGAGTTGAAAGCTATGAAAATATGTTGATCTAAAATAAAGTTAAACTACATTTTCTAGATGGAGGTGCATATACTGCTAAGTGTCATATACTTTGTAAAGTATCGAGGGCATAGATATTTATAGCTGTTTCCGTTCTTTCATAGAAATTTTACATTTTTTCCCCTTTCTTAGGACAAAGTTAAACTATAATCCTCCAAAAGATGATGGATCCACTTATAAGATTGAACTTGAAGGGATATCGGTGATGGTTATGAGAGAGATCCTGGATTACATCTTCAGTGGGCAGGTACGACATGCGGAGGAGGCCTGGGGAGAGGCTTCTGAGCTGGCTGTGCTATCCGGCGGTGACCCGTTTGTGCATCTTGTCACCGTGGGCCAGGACTGGGGCCCCTCCTGGTCGTGCACCCCACACGTGTTCTTCCGGGCAAGAGCAGCACACAGAGTAAAACTGACCCAAACCCGAACCTGGGCTTTGCCATGCTGGGCTCTGCCCTCTGTCCTGAAACACGGTGAAGGGCGGGGGGTGAGCCCCTCTCCAGAGGCTTCCTTTGAGTTTGCTTTTGCCTATTGGAGCCGGTCTGGCTTTGTGTCCATCTGTGGAGAACACGTTCTGTCTCCGTGGCGGGGAGAAGAGCTTCTCTGGGCTTGGGCTTGCTTTGTGGGGTGCCAGGTCCCTAGCAGGCCGTGTGGGTCATTCCCAGAAGGGGATTCACAGAGATGACAGACACTCTTGTAGTTGTGGCGCCTCGGTCCTCTTGCCTCTGTGGCTCCACCAGCCCTGGCCCACCCTGCCCTTTCTTCCGTATTTCCTTTTCTGTCTGTACCCGTGTGTATTTCTGCAGACGTACTGATGCGCAGGACAGCAGTGATGAGTGACCAGACTTCCGTCTTTTCCTCTGCCCCCCCACTGCCAGCCCAGTTACTGGCTCACACCCTAGGATGGGACTCTTGAGCAGAAGAACCTTACGTGTGGGAGGGACCTGGCTTTCTCACAGGAGAGGTTGACGTATCATATCTGGCTGTGTGAGAGTGTGCTTCAATGCCACTCGTGCTGAGATCATGTCCCCTGCCCGCCTCTGGTCCTTCGTCAGTCCTGTGTTGCTTTACTTTTCTGTAAGGGCTGTTTCTCCTATGTATTTCTTAAGGATGCTAAGTGTGTTCAGTCTGTCCAGAGTTAAGCCCAGTGGTTCTTGTCTTTTTGCATTGTGTTCCTTCAAACACTAGGCACAGAGAGAGACGAAGAGGGAGGGGAGGGAGGGAGGGAATGTAAAGGCTCACGACACTCCCACAGCACAAACCCAGGCGCGCCCGGCCTCCTGCCTGGCTCACCAGGTCCCCTGGGCAGCAGTTCATGGCCATGGAGGTGGTGAGCCAGTGAGAGGTGAGAGCCTTGTCAGGGCCAAGCTAGGCTCGAGGCAGCTGGGACTGTCCCCAGTTCAAATTTAAAACATGGCTGCAGTGTAAGCTGCAGCGAGCTCCTGAGCTGGGAGTTGAGTTTTATTGAGATGCAGTCCATTGTCTTCTCACTTTACTGTGTTTGAGTAGTCTACGGCTGTCTGCTGTCTTGTGGCTAAATTTCAGATGCACGTAAATGGGAAGTTTTGCTTGCTCTGTACACTGCTTTCCAGTTTGGTCGCTCACTCTCTGAGGCAGTTGGCAATTGCAGGGTTTTATTTCCTCCCCGGTGTGAAATGTGTAGAATGTGGTAAGGAGTGCGTGCTGTCCTCTCCGAGTTCTCTCCTCTGTGTCCCCAGCGGAGGGAAGCCCCCTCGCTCTGGGCGCTCACCTGTGATTGGCACTGTTCAGTGGCCCCCATCTCCTCCTTGCTTTGTGGTCCCACGGAGAAACTGGGAAGTGGGTAGAGAGAGGGGTGTCAGTAAGAAAACTGAAGAAAATTAAGCATTCATAATGAAGGGGAAAATCCGTCCTATTAGGGATTTGTACCAAAAGGTGGTCTTGAGTCCTGATTGTGTCCGTGGCATTGGGGACATTTGCGGACTGAGAACGAGGCTTCTCGGTGAGCGGACTCCTTGCCTTCAGTTTGACGTGCCAGAGCGTAGCACAAGGGCGAGCTTAGTGTGCTTGGAGGCCCCACTGTTCGTATTTAAGGCGCCACCTGAGGTTTCCCACAGAGGGCAGAGCTTCCCTTTCCCTGTGCATCCCATCGGGTCACAGACGTGAACCTGTGGACAGTTTGCCTGCGTGGTTAGGGGTTGTCCCCCCAGCCCATTGAGGGAGCTCCCGGGTAAAGCTCCCGGGGCTGATCTGCTTGTGGGGTGGGAGGTTCCTTAGGGACTGCATGCTCCGAGGTGGGACTGTCAGACACTGCCAGTGTCCCACACCTCTGACCTCCAAGACAGGAAGCGTCCTGTGGTTCAGCCTAAGAGATGCGTGGCTTGGGTTTTAAGTCCGTCCAGTCCAGCAGGAAGTGTTTCTGGTCCTCCCACAGATCAGGCTGAATGAAGATACGATCCAGGACGTGGTGCAGGCGGCAGACCTGCTGCTGCTCACGGACCTCAAGGCTCTGTGCTGTGAGTTCCTAGAGGGCTGCATTGCCGCGGAGAACTGCATCGGCATCCGGGACTTTGCCCTGCACTACTGCCTGCACCACGTCCACTACCTGGCCACCGAGTACCTGGAGACTCACTTCCGGGACGTCAGCAGCACCGAGGAATTCCTGGAGCTGAGTCCTCAGAAGCTCAAAGAAGTGATTTCTCTTGAGAAGTTGAATGTTGGCAATGAAAGATATGTGTTTGAAGCAGTAATCCGATGGATAGCGCACGACACAGAAGTCAGAAAGGTACTGTCATTTACAACATGGTCTCACATTGCCTTTTTGTTTATTTTTAACCCAGATAATAGCATTGTGACCTAACAGATACCTGGAAGACATCCTCCCAACTGTGACTAAGGTGATCTTTCTGACCAGCTGCAAAGGAATGTACTGCCTGTTGAACGTCACATTTTAATAGGAAAACACACTTCAGGCTTAAGCTGGTGGTTACAGAATTGCTTTCTTCACCTTTGTGTTCAGCACCCGTCCTGTCTCCTGCATCCCTGGGCGGCCCTTGCAGGACCCTGGGGCCCTCGGAGCGCAGCAGAGGGCGGGGCGGAGGCGAGAGGGCTCTGGTGCCACCTAGCCCTCAAGTGACCGCTGGGGAAAGAGGGTGTGAGCAGCAGTCGCTAGCTAGATCCACTCTGGGCAGGCACCGGGGAGGCAGCAGGAGCAGGGGACTCACCCTCCAGGCTGCTCTTTCTAAAGACAAGACCGGCTCCCGTCGCTCATTACAGTGGAACACACACGTTAGGCTGGTTTCAGAGGGTGCCTTTCCAGTCGCATATTGATCTGCTACTTGTTCTGGTAACTGTTGACTGAAGTTCGGCTGATAATCGTGTCCTGTTTTAAATTTGTAGTCTTAGTTTGAGTTTTGTGGTGGTCGGGTGAGTTAGGAAAGGGGAGACGGTAGGCTCTGGTGTGCCCTGCTCACTGAGACCACAGGAAACGCCGCTCCCGGCCAGAGCCTGTTCCTCAGGGATGAGGATGCTTGAGGGGAGCTGGTTGCCAGGGAAACCAGGCTGTTCTCTGTCCTCCGGTTAATCTGAGCCTCATGCCATGAAGACTGTTGGCGTGTATTTCTCAGAGCATGGAAGAGTGGGCCTTAAAGTGATGCTTCACATCTGTAGGAAATCTCCTGAGTATACCACCTAGTGAGCCAGCCGTTTAAATATTTCACCTTACGCACGAGACCGCCTTGTCGTTCGGTTCCAACACAGTGATTGACAGCAGAAGTGTGTGACTCATAATTTACATATTAGTTACTCTTGGAAGTGACTGATATAGGAACAGTTAGTACTCACATTTATGTGGTACTGAGCTATTGTCATATGCAGTATTCTGTAAACGTGGTTTAACTTGACATATCCAGATACAGTACCTGAAATAAAGGAAATTATACTCTGTTCACCTATTGGAAGGGGAACCCTTTCCAAGAGGGCTGCCTGAACTGGGAACGGTGGCTCACACCTGCAATCCCAGCTACTGACGAGGCTGAGGCAGGAGGATGGCAAGTTCAAGTCAAGCCTGGGTAACTTAGATCCTGTCTCAGAGTAAAAATAAATAAATTAGAAAAAAAGGGGGCTTGGGATGTGCCTCGGTATTCCCTAGGTTCAGTCCCCGGTACCCCCCCAAAAAAAAAAAAAAAGGAAGAAACCATGGTGTTATTCAGGTATAAATTTGAACTGATGATTTTTTTAAACTAAACTTTGGTTTTTTGAGATAGCATTTCGCTCTATAGTCCAGGCTGTCCTTGCACTCACTGTGTAGCCCAGGTTGGCCTCAAATTGCCAGCGATCCTCCTGCCTCAGCCTCCTGAGTGCTGGGATTGCAGCATGTGCTATCTTGCTCAGCAAAAATTAAACTGTTAACCGCCTAGGCTCTGGGAGGTAGAAAAGAAGGGGCTGGTGATGCCTATCTGAGCAGTACTGGCACCGGCCACTTGCCTGAACATCAGTCCTTACTGTTGTAGCTTTCCACAGGTGGGACAGCGTGTCCTGAAAACCCGGCCTGACACCCTCCATTGTCCCGTCCTTCCTGTCCCACTACAGGCCCACATGAAGGACGTCATGTCGGCACTGTGGGTCTCCGGGCTGGACTCCAGCTACTTACGGGAACAGATGCTGAACGAACCGTTGGTACGAGAAATCGTCAAAGAGTGCAGCAATATCCCGCTCAGCCAGCCGCAGCAGGGAGAGGCCATGCTGGCGAGCTTTAAGCCGCGGGGCTACTCCGAATGCATCGTGACTGTCGGTGGGGAGGAAAGAGTGTAAGTGCAGGCGGAGTGCTTTGAAAAGCCGTGTGTGGGAGGCCGGAGTTCCATGAGAACCGGAGTTCAGAATGTTTTTCACGATCTGAAGCCTAACGGCAGTCAGCTTTCTGTAATATCTTGAACGTTCTTTAGGACACTCAAACTGGTGATGTCTACTGTAAGCAGAACCCTAAACACTAAGCACGAATCATTTACTTCTCTCTCTAGCTCCCGGAAACCCACGGCAGCGATGCGGTGCATGTGCCCCCTCTATGACCCTAATCGGCAGCTTTGGATCGAACTGGCGCCTCTGAGCATGCCCAGAATCAACCACGGCGTTCTCTCGGCAGGTACCGTGCTGTGTGAAGTTCATCTGCACCCAGGGCCAAGGGATATGCAGCTTCAGGGTCCCACAGAGATGGAGAACGCTTTCAAGATAAAGCCTAACTGTCAGTGTGGGTCCAGCTTTGGAGAGGGGTTGGAAAAGAGCCCCCCTGGTCAGGTCTGGCGTTGCACCACCTGTACGGAGAGGTGGAGCCGTGGTGAACGGAATCATCATGCACTGCGAACATGTATTCATAAAAGCTTCAAACATTAAAAACAAGAAGCAGGGCAGAGCAGGGGCAGGTCCCTCGGTGAGAAGAGCTGTGGTGCTCCCGGAGGCCTTTTGGAGTTCATGCTGTGTAGGATCGCTGCCCAGTTGTATAAAGTATGTTGTGTAAAAGCAGACATTTCTTATGAGACCTTAGAGAAATACTCACGAATGCTTTTGTTTGCAAATAGTTTGGTTCACAAACAAGCATTTGGCCAAATTTTGTTTTTGTTTGTAAACTCTGCGTCAGGTGACGAATACAACCACCGCCATCTTTTCTGCACAAGCACATTAAACGTGGCCATTTTCCCAGAGTCATGGAACACATTAAGTTCATGAGCCGAGGTAGCACCATACTTAAATTAGCAGTGGCTTAAAGTTATTTTACTACAGACATTTGTTTTATTTAACCTTCCCAAGTTTGAAGATTGTTCCAGATTATTCAGAGCTCTCCCTTTAGGAGAGATTGATTGATGTCTTTCCACTGCTCACTGCCTCTGTCTTCACCTGGACTCTGGCTGGGTTCACTCACCAGGTGCCTTTTCACATAATTCTAGATAATGTCAGCAGTCCTTCTGGAATTCTTATTCATTTGTCTCTGCTTGTCCACTAACATTACCTTTAAAATTTTTAAAGCTATACCATACCCTGCCATAAAAGATGGCTAAGCCAGGTAGAATGGCACACACTGTAATCCCAGCACTATGGGAGCCTGAGGCAGGAAGATTGCAAGTTCAAGACCAGCCTAGGCAACCTAGTGACTTAGTGAGACCCTGCTCAAAATAAAACATAAAAAGGGCTGGGGATGTAACTCAGTGCAAAGGCCCAGGGTTTAATCCCCAGTACCAGGAAAAAGAAAAAAATGTGGTTTCCCCCCATCATAGGCATACATGCCCATAATTTCACTCATGCACACCTGTCACAGGTGTTTCCATGTCACTAATCCTTGAAGATTTTCTGGGTGGAATGGTATTTCAGAAACTAAACTAAAGAGAATGATTGTATACAGTTGTATTGATTGATGCTGAAATGATTGACTTGTTTCCTTTGTTTCTCTAGTCTACTGTATTTTTCTCTTTTCTTGCCTTTTAGAAGAATTTATTTTGACTTTTTTTTGAGACAGGGTCTCACTATGTAGTTAACACTGACCTGGGACACACTATGCAGCCCCCAGGCTGGTCTCAAACTCACAGTGATCCTCCTGCCTCAGCCTCCTGAGTGCTGAGATTACAGGCGTATGCTGCCACGACCCCCAGCTCTAGTCCAGGGTTTTTTTTGTTTGTTTTTTTTTTTTTTTGAGACAGGGTCTCACTATGTAGTTAACACTGACCTGGGACACACTATGCAGCCCCCAGGCTGGTCTCAAACTCACAGTGATCCTCCTGCCTCAGCCTCCTGAGTGCTGAGATTACAGGCGTATGCTGCCACGCCCATCTATTTTGACTTTTTAAAATCTTTTGATTTTTTTCTTCTCTTCTAATTGGAAGTTATGTTCTTATTTACATTAAAAATGTTTCCGTCTTCTTGTTTACCTTAGAAATTACAGCCCGTGTCTTAAGTTAAAAGTGTAGAGTGAATTAGTACGTTATTCTTCCAGGTATTGCTTCTTTTTCGCATTCCGCAGTCTTACAATAATGTTGAATACGTGATTATTGACACATACGTGGTAGATGTATTTTTGATTTGTGTTTTGTCTTAGTGATAGACAGTGCTTGTTTGGATTTACCACTTTCTTTCTTCTTCCTCCTTTTTACAACCAGAATTTCTACATAGGATCGTTTATCCTTTTGAATTTCCTTTGATGGAAAATTCTCAGATTTGACTGCAGGCATCATTATTTTGCTTCTTCTGAAGAATAGTTTTGCTGGGTATAGAATTTTTAGGTTACTGTTTCTTTTCATCACCTTTAAAGATGTCTTTTCACTTATTTAAGTCAATTATCAATCTAAAAAATCATTGTTTTCTCTGGGGTATATTTAAGATTTTTTTTCCTCTACCAATTTATTACAGTGTGTCTACTTTCATTAAAATTGTATCATATTGGGCTGGGAATTCAAGCTCAAGTTTGATTCCCGGTACCAAAAAAATAATTATATCATGTGGGTGTTTTTGGCGCTTTGACTCTGCGGGGCTTGGGTTTTATCCATTCTGGATAATTTGCACCCATTTTATCTTCACAGATTGGCTCTGCTGCCCTACTCTCTCCCTCTGCTGCCCTACTCTCTCTCCCTCTGCTCTTGAAAGTAACATCAAACACTGCCAGGCCTGTTTACCCTCCACCCCCTCGTCCTGTCTTCCTTGTGTTGCTTTCATCCTTTTTGTGTATTTGTAGACTTTTTATCTTTGTGTTGCTGTATGCTGCCTTCTTGATGACTGCTTTTTACTTATCCTCAGTAAATGCTGTCTTTATTTTTTTAGTTTCATACTTTCTCTTTGAATCTTTTGAAAATCTGCTGTTATTTCTGTAGGCCCATGTTTCCTACAGTTGCCAAGTTTTCTTTTACTTTTGCAATGTGAAAGGAATCGTCGTTTTGTCACCTTTCCGGTTATGCCAACTTGTAACCTCTGGCAGTACTGCTTCTGCTGTCTTATTTGTCTTCGTAGAACCTTGTTTTTTGGTATGTCTGAGTATATTGCCCAGATGCCAGCATTTTATTTAAAGTTATTTGCAGTAATAATTGATGAATTAAACTCTTAGAATGTTGACTGTAAAACTTGGGTGATGGAACTTTCTTGTGCAGAAGTTTTGTACTTGTTTCTGCCAGTCCCCTGAAAGCACTGCTAATTGGTGTTACTATAAATCCAACTCAAGGGTTGAGATTTCCTAGACAAGCAAGGAGCTTTAAATCACCACTGCTGATAGCTGGCCCATGTCCTGAGCATAGAACTTAGGAGCAGATTTCCTGCCAGAAGCTGCTTCTAAGGGTCTGTGGCTAAAATTTTTCATCCCTGGAACAAAAGGTACAAACTTCCCCAAGTGGCAGGTGCCTTCCAGGCAGAGTGGTTGCCCGCTTGGCAACCTCTCCAGAGGTCCCCCCTTTCCCTTCAGTTTTTCCTTATTGTCCTGTTGGCATCTTCTCTTCTAAGACTATTATAAAAAATATTTTATTCAGCCAGTTAGTAGCTTTTTGCAGAACAACCAGTCTACCATTACAGCCAGCTCTTGGATTTTGTTTTGAATTGAAGTGGGGAAGGTTTTGGCCCGGGGTCAGAAGCCGCATGAGAATCGCGGGCCTGGGGATTAGAATAGAGCACCTGAGATGACCTGGAGCTGCCCAGTGGTGGGGGGGTGTCTCCTTCCCGTCACGCTGTAGGGGTGCGGATCCCCTCAGACACTGCTGAGCAGAGCAGAGCAGAGTGGCCCGAGTGACTCCTGGATTTGGCTCTGTCACCAAGGAGCAGATGAAATAGGAGAGGCCCCGAGTCCAAGACGACATTGTTAGGTGGGAGGAGGTTCTACAGATGCTGCGTGCCCGTGCTGGGGACTTGGTTTCAAGGTGTTTGTGTGTCTCTTCTGGTTTTTGCAGAAGGATTTTTGTTTGTATTCGGGGGCCAAGATGAAAATAAGCAGACGCTGAGCTCGGGAGAGAAGTACGATCCAGATGCAAATATGTGGACTGCGCTGCCACCCATGAATGAGGTAAAGCACATGCTTGTTTCTGTTTGATTGCCTCTCTTGTCCGTGGCACTTGGGTTTTATGTTGGGAAGAGGAGGTGGCCGGGTCCTCACACCTGCTGTCCTGCCGCACTCCTGCTGTCCCTTGTCCTGAGCCTTCTGGCCGCCCTGCAGCTTCTTGGAGCAGGGCCCCCACTCGCACTTGGGCCTTTCCTGTCTGCCAGGGCGCCTCCCTCCCGCCTCCACTCTCCGTCCTGCCCCTTGTACGCGGGTCCTCGCGGATGCCATGGAGGCTCCGAAGGAGGGAATGACACCTGTCCCGCTCGGTTTCATTTCCTTGCTGGAACAGTGCCTGGCACGTACGTGAACTGAGTGAAAAGTTGTTGCCCAGTGAATACCGAAGACCTCAGGCTTCTGTGGTCCCAGACTCCTGCCCTGACGGCGGCCTCCCACTGCCTCCCGGCCACGGAGAGTCTACCCTTCTGGGGTCTTTCTTGTCTGTCCAACATGGGCTGGGAAGCCTGACGGACAGCTGTTGCTGTATGAAGGCAGTTTCGTTATGGCAGTTATTACCTAAGAGGGTGCTTTGCTTTCTGGGGAACTAGAGTGGTTTAACAAGTGGTGATCCCACTGATAAATTCACCGTGCATTTTACTCCCTTCTCTAAGATATGCCTGTCCTTGGCTCGCTCTGTTGTGCCAGATGTGTGAGGTACTGGGAGAGCTGGGAATACAAGAAAGTGTCCCAGGCGAATCAGTCCCTTGCTGGAACCCTGGAATGAACCGGTAGCTGTGTGCTATCACATACAGAAGTAGCAGCTGTCGTGTACAGAGAACTTTGATATCTTTTCAGGCAAGACACAACTTCGGCATTGTGGAAATAGACGGAACGCTGTACATTTTGGGAGGGGAGGATGGGGACAAGGAGCTGATCTCCATGGAATGTTACGACATCTATTCTAAAACCTGGACGAAGCAACCTGATTTGACCATGGTTAGAAAGGTGAGGGCTATAGCTTCCTGTGACCACTTTGTTTACAAGTTGAAATTGGTTTTTTGGTACCAGGGATCAAACTCAAGACCTGCACTTTTAAGGCAGGCATGGTGCTATTGAGCTACCTCCTCAGCCCTGTTTCTTCGTTTCTTAAATATGCCTTTCATACCACAAAGTATGAAGAGAATGGTGCAGGAGGATTCTGTCTTCCTTAGTAGCTTGCCTTCACAGTGAGCAGCCACGCAGCGGGACAGGAGCCGGTGCGCGCACCTCGCTTGATCAGTGCTTTGCAGATGCTTAGAGTCAGGGAGCGGCCAGAGCTCCCCACCTGCCTCTCAGTCACAGCGTCCAGGGCCCTGGAGCACAGCCTGTGTGCGTCTGTGCTCTGGTAGTGCAGGCAGGGAGTTGGGCAGCAGGACAGCTTGGTGAGTGGCCCAGGTGAGGTGCATCTTCAGGCAGCGAGCGGATGTTCTCGTGTGACCTCACGGTGTGTGCCCTTTCCCCAAAGTTACTGTGATAGAGAGCGACTCGCTCCAGAACTGGTGAAAGAATAGAAAGTGGAAAGCCCTCTCTTTTATTTTTTCCTTTCCATGCAGGGGATTCCCCCTGGGGCTTTGTCCAAGCTAGGCAAGCGCTTGATCACCCCCCAAGCCCTGGAAAGCTCCTGTAAAAAGTACAGTCACCAACCTGCCTTGCCTGAATGGAGACTAGAGCTCCTTCTCTGTCCTGCGGTGCGGGATTGGCAAGCACTGCACTTTACTGTTAGGAATCCTGGGGCTGAGCGAGGACCTCGGCTGCAAGCCCACACCTAGAAGTCAGCCCCTTTCTCGCATAACTTCATGCGCTCTCCCGACAAACTAGTGCCTGTCTGTCTATATAGCTTTAATAACGGTGCCTTTCCCCACTATTTTCCTCTCAGATTGGCTGTTATGCAGCTATGAAAAAGAAAATCTACGCCATGGGTGGAGGGTCCTATGGAAAGCTGTTTGAGTCCGTGGAGTGTTACGACCCCAGGACCCAGCAGTGGACTGCCATCTGCCCCCTGAAAGAGAGGAGGTGAGAGAAGGTGGGGTAGGCGGGGCTTCCCTTCTGCCGCTGGGTCTGAGTCCTCAACCTGGCCTTGCTCCCCCTCCCAGAGTGACCTTTTTGTGGCCTGGCGCTTCCCAGACTGGGGGCCCCGTGTGCAAGCAGCGCCAGGTGCTGCGTTAAAGCGAGCCCCGGAGGCATCAGGGAGGCAGGCCTTGAGCTTAGCCCACACCTACTGTGCTGTGTGGCCTTTCAGGTTTGGCGCTGTGGCCTGCGGGGTTGCCATGGAGCTGTACGTGTTCGGAGGCGTCCGAAGTCGTGAGGATATCCAGGTTAACGAGATGGTCACCTGCAAGTCAGAATTCTACCACGATGAGTTTAAAAGGTAATCAGGAGGGGTGTCCTATAGCTTTCGCAGTTTTTCCTTTATACTTCAGGGTCATGATTTAGTTTTTTTAAAGTTTGGTTCCAAGTTCCTCCATCGAACTATTCAGCAGCTGTGTCCCTCCATATCAGGTATTTAGTCAGTGACTTCAGAGATATTGGTAACTTAAAAACCTTGAAAACACCTTTCTAAAATGTAGAGCAAACATCAACTTGCTGTTACGTGGCTTTTAGGAGAAAGCTTAGACTCCTTAATGTAGCATGTATGGGCCTTTTGTGATGTGACCTTCATCTACTTTTTCTGCTACTGTCCAGCCCAGATGCTTCACGCTGAGACATTTTCCATCCCTCGCCTCCAGATATTTGTGATAATCTCAGCCCAGTGCTTGTGTGCTATTCCTGTTGCCTAAAATTCCCCTTGCTCCTGTTCATCCTGGGAATTTGGCCTCATCCAAAACTCTGGAGAAAGCCTTTTCCCGCCAGCTAGTGTGCTCTGTCACGGTGTTCACACATCTTTCTCAGGTTAACCGTGAGTGTTAACCGTAGTCACCTTCAGGGCAAGACCCAGGCACTCAGGTCTGCGTGCTGCTCCGGGCCCTGGGCCTGGCCGTGTCCGACTCTCCATTCGGTCCACTGAGTGAATGAGGATTGGCGGCTCAGCTCCTGACTCACCTGACAAGCCACCCTGTCCCTCTGTAGGGCAGGTGTTGGCTTCGCAGTGTCACCCGGCCCCTCCCTGCCCCTCACACCTTTCACTGTCCCTGTCCCTGTCTCTCAGCCATCTGCAGCTCGGGCTCAGGTACAGGTGTTGTTGGAGTAGTTCCCTCTTGTTTCCAGGAGGGGGCGCCGTGACATAATGTTTACTTTCCTGTTCCTGTATTTCAGATTAGGGCGATGGACAGTTCCCAAAACGTGGGAAGTACTGCTATATTTCTGTATTTTAAATCGAGGATGTTTGCATAGCCCTTTTCCCAGGCCTAGAGGTGGATTCTCTTAGGAAAAGTTATTAGGCAGAGTATGCAAGCAATTTAGAAGATCGTTTGTTGTGGGCTCCCGGCTCGCTGACATGCTGTGAGAGGTGCACGTGCGGACTCCCGCGTGAGTGTCGAGACCACCTGTACAAGTCCATTACCAGCTTACAGCCTGCGAGCTTTGAGTAAGATGTTGCTACGAACCTTTTTCATTATGACAGAATTGCTAGCCGTAGCTCACTTGCTGGAAAAGTCGAGTTTGCTTGTGCTGGTCCACTTCCTGTCCCTGTTCTCATTGTGTGGGACTTAAGTCTGGCTGTAAGATGGATATCAGACCCATTATGTTCCCAATCTGTTTGTAGTTCACTAGCTTTGGATATTACTGTTGCTATCACTTGCTCTAAATTCATTATTATTAAACATGACAGTGTCGTTCCTTATTGCTATTTAAAAACACTTCCAAATAAGATTCATACACCCTCAGCAGCCTCATTTCTGGACAGTGCAGTGTTGGTTTATGAATAGAGTGAAGAACGCGAGGCCTCTTGGTATAGCACGGGGGCTGCTCTGTGTAGCGCGCTGAGCGGAGCGGGGCGCCAGTGCCGTGCTCAGCTCACGGACTCAGTCGTCAGAGCAGCTCTCCGGGGCAGCGCTCTTCTCGGTCCTCTCATCGGAGGACACCGCAGCCCTGAGGTCAGGCCTCCTCCCCATGCCCCACCAGATCGGCTTCCTGTAACACCTCCAGAAAAAAGAACACATAGGAAGGAGTGAGCACTTCGTCTCCTGAGAGATCATGTGTCCCCTGATGTGTGCTGTTTGCATAGTGTAGAAACCGTTGCCAAACGAGCAATCTGGATTAGATTGGAGCCCATTTAGATTGTTTTTAAGCAATCTTTTGTCTTTCCTGTCTTTGTGCTCTATTTTTAGGTTAAAACTTTCCTGGAAAGGTGCCCTGTCATTTTCTGTGTTTCTGAATAAAAACAAAACTGTTAGGAAGAATGCAAAGAAATTGCCATAAATTATGACTGGGTCACGGTGACCACGCCTGCCTCTCTGTTTCTGTGTCCCTGTCCTGTCAGTGACACCGCTGTCCTCCAGCTCCTCCGCAGCAGCCTCTCAGCTTTTGTACTAAATCTTTCCCCACAGCCTTCACTGCCTGGAGCTGAGCCTGGTGCCCCCCTCCCCCTCCGTGTCTCTCTCTCTCTCTCTCTCT